AAAAAAAAAAATTCAAATAAAGAAAATATTTTGTGACTATACTATAAAGAAAATATTTTGTGATTTTGAATATAAAAATTATATAAAATTCAAATTTCAGTGTCAAAAAGGAAAGTTCTATGAGAATACACCCATGTCCTTCCATGTACATGTTATCCATGGCTGCTTTCACACTACAATGGAAGAGTTAAGCAGATGCAACAGAAATTGTGTGGCCCACAAGGCCTAAAAGATTTGCTACCTGGCTCTTTATAGAAAATGTTTACCAATCTCTGGAATGATCCAGTTGGGTTACCAAAACCAAAAGTTCTTAATTAAGTTGGTTATGAGAAAGTACAAGGATACTGGAAATCTTCCCCAAAGGTTATATTGGCAATTTTTAAAATAATACTTGAAAACAGATAAAGCTGGAAACAGTGGATCATGCCTGTAGTCCCAGCAACTTGGAAAGCTGACGTGGGAGGACTGCTTGAAGTCAGGAGTTTGAGACCAACCTGAGCAACACAGCAAGATCTAATCTTAAAAACAACAAAAAAAAGAAAACATATCTAACAGTGGAAACTGTGGCTCCTTAACTAACCATGAGAATCTTATTCAATACTTCTTTGACTCTGATCCTCAAAGGGCAGGAGATGAAGGCTTGCTGCTATGCCAACCACCCACCCATTCCCTCAGCTGCCCATTCTCACCTCTTCTAGACTGAAAAGCACACCGCCAATCGGCGCACCAAAGGCAACAGAGACTCCAGCAGCTGCTGCAGCTGAAAGCACCTACAAGGCAAATAGTTCTAGGTAAGCTCCAAGGCCTACCATGGAAACAGACACGTAAGAGCATGTGCAGGTGAGATGGCAGGAGGGGGCTTTGGGAAGAACGCTCCATTACTCATGGAAGGTGAGCCTGCTCACCTCGCGCCTCTTGCCCTCATTCTTGCTGTACTTGGAGAAAAGGCTGCTGAAGAAGTTGCCACAGCAACAGGCTACGTGCACCAATGGCCCTTCTTTCCCAAGGCTGAGGCCAGAGGACACTACTAGCACCAGGGTGACCGTCTTGATTAGCAGAGTCCACTTCCCCAAGTAGCCCCTGATGATGAAGCCACTCAAAATAGTCTTTATCTGAAACAGAAGATGGACAATGAGATGGAGTGAACTGCTTCTATCCATGACTAGGAAAATAGCTGTAATTCCTGTGAGAGGCATGTTAAAAGTTTAGATTCACTAATTCACATGGAAGAAAGAACATTTTCATTTTTTATTTATCATAATTGTATATTAACAAAATTTTATAATAATATATAACTTTATGTTACAGCAATAGAAACATTAACAAATTCAATGTATAGTAAATCTTAAGGATTCTTAGAGTACCAAAAGATCATAAAGAAAACTGAATAAGTTGATATCAAGGTCTCATTTTATTTACAGCATTTTATCCTCTTCATGTTACTCTCTGTCGTAGTGAGAAGAGACATAGACCTATTGATCTTAACTGTAAACTTTTAACTTGAAAGATATCCAAGACAAGGAGAGGGAGAGCTGGCCACCTTATTTCTTAAAAGTAGAAATGAAATTCCACGTGAAAGATGCCTTTTCTGTACTAGAAGGAAAGTATCATTCTTATCATCAAGGATAGGAAGTTGAGGCCAAGGGAAATCTCTACAAACAAACATTGTTAGACTAATCCTTATCCTCCTGGTCACTCCTCCACCCAACTAACCCCACCTGCCCAAGCCTCTGAGCCTTCTCACATTTTTACAGTTTACTACTCTTTGTCCTACCAGTATATAAATGTTCAACCCCAATTGCATCTTGACACCTCAATTTCCTTATTAGGTCTCCAATGTCACATAAAACTTGTATCAGATAAATTTGTATGTTTTTCTCCTGATGATGTATCATGTGTCAATTAAATTCTCAGGCCCGGCCAAAATCCCCTAAGAGTAGTA